TGCATCCCTTCATCCGATAGCACATGAGCTTCACAACATGTACTTGTAAGTCTGTTTTGGCTACAGAGACTCATTTCCTGCCTGAACCATGTTCCAAATAGTAAGTTCCCAGCATGCATAGCTTTCATACAGGAAGTTCTTATCTGAAACCAATGGTCTGCCAAAAACCAAACTCGCTGCCATCGAATAATCAATGCTGACTCATAGTGACCCCCTGTGGGTTTCCAAGGCTATAACTGTTCACAGGAGTAGAAAGCCCAGTCTTTCTCCCACTTTGCTGCTGGTGGTTTTGAACTGCCTACGATGTGGATAGCAGCCCAACACAGAACCACCATACTACCAAGGCCTCCTGTATTCCAGAGGGCTTTAAAAAGTTTATGAGGAAAAAGGAATTAAAAGATAAAGAATGTTTTCATGGACTCTTGGGAGCCCCTCACAAATCACCAGTAGTGGTAGTGGGTTGGATCACTTGACTACAGTGCTGACTACCAGATCTGCCTGTTGTAAAACTGGGTGTTGTCTTCCTGTTCTCTACTTTTATATCTCTAGGTTCTCATATAATTGCACTGGCTGCATAGGACTCAGACAAAATTCATGATGAAAGGGCTTATTAAGGAAGTGAGGAGATTGTGATGCCATCATTAAATGCTCAGGATGGTGTTGCTCATCAGGACATGTTACACAGTTCTCTTAGGGCTGCTAACGGATGCCCAAAGTGCATGCCCCTCAGCTGTAAGCCTCAACCCAAAGGCAAACCCAGCTTCCTAAATTAAGTGCCCAGAGACCCCTACCCCAGGAAGCCTCAGCCCAAAGGCATTCTGCTCACCTTCCCAACCAATCATCAACAAGCCCAGATCTCCCAGGTAAGTGTCCAGGGGCATCCAACGTCACAAGCCAGAGTCCTGCACAGAAGCATTCAGCTCTACATGCTGAGTGGACTGAGAAGTCCACCACTGTGTTCTGTGCTCTGTCTCCTGGTTCTGCTGCTGCTCCTCTGACATCACAGCTGTCTTCTGAACCCAGGACGGTCCCTGCACAAGGACTCGGGTCCAGAGAATGTGCTCCACAACTGGCTCTTGCTGGCAATGTGATTCCTTTTCCTGCTTCTCAGAGGGCATATTTTATATGCAGCAATAGCGCTTTCCAATGGAATGTGCTTCTCAATGACTCACAGGGGAATCCTCTCAGTATCTTCCCCACCTTCTTACCCCAAACCCTTGCAGGAAAAGGTGGTTCAGTGAGAGAGACTTTGGCTGAAAGAGCCACGTTAAATAATTCACTCTCTCTGCAAGGTGTACTTTTACACTTAGAGTAACAAAGTTTAATATCTATTGTAACACATAAGGTATAAGGTAACACCTTGACATTTATCTTGTTCCCCCAAAACTTCTTAATGTTTTCTAATCCATCGCTGAATCAGTTGTTAGCTGAGTGTTACCAAACTGTGATGTTTCTTGTTCTAGCACTTTGTGTATTATACAGCAGTCATCTGTAAAGAAGAGCTTTATGTTACCCCCCTCTTTGTGTGTGTGTGTGTGTGTGTGTGTGTGTGTGTGTGTACACGCGCGCCCGCGCCCGCCCGTGCTCACACACATCTAAGGGACTTAAGAGTTTTTATTTATTCAGTGCATTGCGGTAACTTATTCCAGACTCACCTGTACTTTCCCTTTTTCTACCTCTAGAATCAAGCCATTTCTTAAAGAAACCCTTTTAGTATAGAATGGCATTTAGAAGCCAAGATTTGGGCACCAAGAATGTTTACTGCTAGTGAGGCTTGATTGCTCCTAAATTATTTTCAATAACTAAAGCTGGAAAATGTATTGAAAAAGGGGGGGGGGGAAGCATACATTTATATTGCCTTTTCTTTAAAGCGTTAATCAGTTATAAGATTTGTTTTCTTGGGTTTTTTGGTTTGTTTTTTAGAAATTCAGTTATGGTGATGCTTGGAATTTATCTAGGAGCCTTTCATCTTAAACTGAGAATCCCTTTGTATCTGTTCTCTCTCTGGAGGGAGAAGGGACATGTAACATGGGGGTCACATAGGAATCACAGTTCTTTAACCCTGTGAGCTCCTTCCAAGTGCATGTGTGCTATTTTTCTAAAGGAAAAGTACCACCAGGAGCCCCCCATGCTTATTAGTAAATTCCTTTTACATTGTATATTTTCCTGTATATCTGAAGGAGAACTCCAACGTTGCCAATGTGTGTCATTTACTCTGGTTGCTTTCAGGTGCGGCTAAATCAAGTCCAGCATCAAAACCAGGATCCACACCTTCTCGTCCCTCGTCAGCCAAAAGGGCTTCATCCAGCGGCTCAGCATCCAAATCTGATAAAGATTTAGAAACACAAGTCCTACAGCTTAATGAACAGGTAGGTAACTCATCAGCCCCTAGCCCTGGGTATGTAACAGGTGAGGGGCCAGCACCCTATAGGCCTAGGGTGGGGTGCAGGTAGGAGGGTTGAGGCAGAGCCTGTGGGTTCCAGTCAGTAAGAATGAAAGGAATTGTTTGGGAAGATGAGATCAGTGGCCTGTTGTGACTAGTTGGTGGTCTCAGATCTCTACATTATACACTGGCGGGGACCGAAGAGCAAATGGCTCGGCCCCAGTCAAGTGCGGTTTTACAGACTAGCCTTCCCTCACCTCTCTCTCAATGGCTTTTGTGAGCTTGGAGCTAGACAGTGGCCTGTCAAGCCCACTCTGAGCAGTCTAGTGGTTGCTCTAGTGTTAGTCAGGCTCCCTTGTCTCTCTCTTCTCTGTCTTTAAGTAGCTATGTAAGCCTGTTCTCTGTAGGGTCGATAGGAGTCAGAATTGACTCGCTGGCCATGAGTTTGGTGTAGAGTTTGTGTGCCCGACACTGTGCTCGATGCTAGTAAGGTCATGGTAAGCACAGTAGACAGTCCACAGAGTGACTGGTACACAAGAGAAGCAAGCACCCGATGCTTCCCACTGTGGGCAAGGCCCAGGCTTCAGAAGCATCAAACCCAGTCCTGGGAGGGTTGCGGGACAGAAAGGTTACGGTTGGCCTTTAAACAGGGCTTTCCTTTGTTGCTGATCATCCCACAAACACAGTCAATCTAGCTCTACTGTCTTTGAAACTTTCAATACAGAAAGCTTAGGCGGTGTGCTTTCTAACGAGCCAGAGCTAATTTTGCCTCAGATGGTCCAAACCACTCTCCATCAAGTCATCTCTAGCTCCTGGCAGCGCCCGAGGGTTAGAATAGAGCTGCGCTCCACAGGTTCTTGGGGCTTCCTGTTCGACCATACATTGCCAGGGCTGTCTTCCAAGGTGCCTCTGATCGAACTTGAACTTCCACTAAACAGCTGAGCCCATTAAGTTTGCACCTCCTAGGGACTCCGCCTCAAGAGCAAGGCGCCACCCTTTAAAAGTGCTACACCCACTAGAGCCAAGCCCACTGCAGAAGCAGCCTGACCTCGCCCTTCGTGAAGGAGCGCCTTTCCGCCCGGCCGCCCCCACCGCAGAGAAGCACCTGTGACCAAGGCCCTGGGGCGGTTTCCCAGCCACTTAAGTGTGCCCATTCTAGGTGACTCATCTCCTCCATGAGCCATCAAGAGTCTGGAAACCTTTTTCCTCTTTAATAATTGCATATTTGCAATCAAGAAACTGCTTTGAAAGCAGTCATTTGCTTAACGAGGGTGTTTCTTTGCCATTCGGATGACTTTGTGGAGAGAGAGAGCCTGCAGTCGTCTGGTGGACAGGACACTGAGAGAGGACTGGCTGTCCTCATTGCCGCCTGATTCTCAGTCTGAGCCTGTATCAAGTGTCCAGTGAGAAGTTCATCTCACAGAAGGCAAGGAAGGCAGCCGGGTGCACCTCGGGCCACGTGCCAGAGGCTCCAGGGAAACCCGAGCCGTCCCAGAGAACCAGCCAGTGGGTCTGTAATGCTTTGGATTTATAGCTCTCCTCTCTTTGGCAACGGAAGACCTTTTGATAACTGTATTCCCTCATATTTCTTCATGACTCTGCTCTTCCTCTGTTCTCTTATTTGCCACCACACCCCAGCCCCCAACGCTCCAACCCAAATCATAACGACATGGACATCGCAACAGGGTGGCATTAGTCTGTGAGAGGAACTATCAAAATGGAATATTGTTTGTGAGTTGATCTTTTACCATATAATTTAGCTACTTTTGGCTTTTATTAGGGCAGGTTTATAGCCAAGTGGCAATTAACTGTGGCATCTGGAATATAACCAATCAGGTTATATGTTTCTACAAAATCCTCCGCTATTAGTTCATGCAGACCAATGCTCATCTCATTTTCCTGGGTTCAGGGTGTCCAAGAGGCCGTCCCTATCAGGGGGCACAGGGAGCACTGAGCGGTGACCATGTACTACAGACTACCACAAATCCATCTGCTGTCCCCAGCATGAGGCTTGAGCCGGATTCTGTAACGAAGGCCAGCGGGGCCACTGGTTGATTTGAAAGCAGGAAAGGGTTTCTAGAATAAAGAGGTTTTCTCTGTCCTGGAATTCAGGGAGACTACCTTCAGTTTTACAGTAAAGGGAGACTTTAGAAAGTCCGTGGGAAAAAATTGAATTAAGAGATAGTGGAAAACCTGTGGATCTGGACTTTTAAGGGAATTCAGGACTGACAGGAAAAGGTGGGAGTCTCAACAAACCTAAAGGAGGAGAGATGGAGCGGTAAGCCGGAGGTGAGAGGGTTTGGTCTCGGAAGACTCACGTGTTAAGCCTGACACTCGTGTTTGCTGCTCCCGGGGTGATCCCAAGCCGGGTGGCACAGCGGTTCCGCAGTCGGGACCCCCTCCGCAGCTGTAGGGAGCTGCTCTGGACCGATTCCAGCGAGTGAACCCTGTGGGGCCGCTCCACCCTGCCACAGTGCTTCATAGGCAGTGCCTCACCCCACTAACCAGACCACTGCTCCAAGCTGTCCCTTCCCTGCCAGGAGAGACACATGGGGCTCTCGGGGAGGGGGAGAGGGGCCAGCGGGCACCCAGGAGGGAGCCGCTATGTGAAGGTGTTGGTGATGGTCCCATGGAGCCCGACAGGTTGAGTGAGCATTTCCCAGGTGAGCAAGAAAGATGCAGGCCTGCCCTGTGTCTGGATGTATGAATCTCATTCCAGACAGGTAATGGCCCAGAATGATGAGCTGGAAGAAAATGTTGCAGTCCATGAACAAGTTCTTTTTTTTTTTTTTTAATCATTTTATCAGGGGCTCATACAACTCTTATCACAATCCATACACACATCAATTGTGTAAAGCGCATTTGTACATTCATTGCCCTCATCATTCTCAAAACATTTTCTCTCCACTTAAGCCCCTGGCATTAGGTCCTCATTTTTCCCCTCCCTCCCCGCTCCCCCCTCCCTCATGAGCCCTTGATAGTTTATAAATTGTTATTTTGTCATATCTTGCCCTGTCTGACGTCTCCCTTCACCCACTTTCCATGAACAAGTTCTGGAAGTTCTTTTAAGGATGGTTTTCCATGTAGTATGAGATTTCCTATATAGACTTTTTTTAATGATTTTATTGGGAGCTCTTACAGATATTATAACAAGCCATGGTTCAATTAGCTCAAACATAATTGTACAATTGCTGCCACCATCAGATTCAAAGCATTTTCTTTCTTCTTGAACTCTTTGATATCAGCTCCCCTTTATCTCCTCTCTCCCCTGTCCTCCTCCCCAGGCACCCTTATCATTATATATTATATATAGATATATTATTTTTTGCCACATCTTATACCATCCAGTGTGTGCGCTCACCTAAAATTCTGTATCCGTTCCCCTCAAGGGGGCTCTACAGTCGTCCTGGCTATTGGCTCCTCCTTCCTCTCCCCACCCCTTCCAGTGCTCTCAGGGAACCATCAGTCCCCTTGCTATTTCTGAAGAGTTCATCTATCTTGAATTTCATGCATCGAATAACCTTAATTATACAAATGAACATACACGACTCTAACAAGATTAATGAAGGCCATAATAGTAAGGGGAGGAAAGACTAAAGAACTAGAGGATAGTTAGGTGTTGAATCAACGGTATACTGCACCCTGGATGTGTCATCCCTTGTGTGTGGCTTGTCCACACACGTGTGAGGGAATGTATAATTACCTTACAGGTGAGTTTGGGGTCTCCACTTTCCCCCATGCTCCTTCACGTCAATTTGATTGCTTGTTTTTGAACTTCTGATGCCTATTCCCTTCTCATGATCACACAGGCTGGTGTGGGCTTTGTTGCATCCCTGCTAGATGGTTGCTTGTTTAACTTCAAGCCTTTAAGACTCCAGATGCTCCATCTTTTAATAGTCGGGCAACAGCTTTCTTCAGCACATTTGCTCATGCGCCCATTTGTAAAGATCCCTTTACCTCCTAAAGACTCTTCCCTGCTTGAAGATCAGTGCGCATGGTGTCAAGCACTTGGGAGATTCTAAGAGTCAAGCTGACATGTGACTGCTTCCCCTGTAGGAGGATATCAGCCCACGACTTGAAACTGGGTCCGTGTGTGTCCCTCTGGTGTTTCTTCAGCACACCCCACCCCACCTTGCCCTGTGGCAATGCGTTGGGGTCTGCCTCATCTGTTGTCTCCTCCCCATTTATAAGCATGTGAGCAGGTGCACATCCCCAGAAATGCCTTGAAATTGCAGCAAGGGGAATGAAAGTGTGCAGCTGGAGGGGGCGGGTAAGACTTTTCTTGGTGAGTGAGTGGAAACGTCCGTATATTCCTACCCTTCCAGTGGTATCCCCAAAGTCAGGAGTGGAAAAATGATGCGAGATCTGCTCAGTCAGGCCTCCATTCTCAGCCATGTCCTCACACTGCCAAGAGCCTGTTTCTCAGCAGAGAGCATTTGTCTCACTTGGCTCAGGATCGTTTTGTGAAAAGGTACAGAACTCTTAATGGCTCATAATGCAAGTGATCTGAAGAAAAAGTGTCTCCAAGGATTGTAAATCAGAGCGTACAGGGTGAACATCTGGTTGGCAGAAGGCAAGAGATGACAGTGGAAGACCAAAAACCCATTTGCAGGGTCCACACATAGATTAAGCCTCTGGGGAATGCCCTCTGGCCATAGTTGAGGGATGGGTATATCCTTGTTATCAGACAGAGAGCATTGCAAAGTCAATTACGGCAGACGTAGTTAGGTCAAAATGTAATATCATTTGATCTCCCTTTTAACCTATTCTAAAATTGTTTCAGTTCCAAAAAAAAATAGTGAAGGGGGAACGCACGTACACTAAGCCTCTGGTGAATGCCTCTGACCACAGTCTAGGGACACGAGTAGCCTTGCTATTATACAGAATACATTGGAAAGTGGATTATTGCAGATGCAGTTACGGTAAAGTGTGGCACCTTATCTGAGTTCCAGTTTGGCTCATTTTATATTTGTGCTAGTATTTAATATGTCTGCTTCTTGTCAGCAGAAGGTTTTCTCTGTTGCACTTCAGTATTGTGGTTGGTTTTTGTTTGGCAGTGGGTTTTTTCTTCTGTGTATGAAATACAGGCTCGGTAGATCTATAGAGACAGTAACTGGATTACTTGGTTCCTTGGAGGTATGGCAGGGAGGTTGGGAGAACTGAGTAGCTAATAACAGGGAGTTCATGAATGAAGAAAGAAAATATTCTAAAATAGATGTGGTGATAATTGTCCGATTCTTCTTAAGATAACCGAACTATTGAATTGTATGACTTGTGAAGTATATGCCAATAAAACTGTTAAAATTTTTTAAAAGATAAACCTACAGTAAGCACAGTCATACCCTCTCTCCACTCTCCTCCTTCCGCTCCCCTGTCCCTCCCTGCAGATTGTGGGTATGTTCGATCACATGTGTATTCTGGTCTGTGTTAGCCGGCGAGGAAGCCTACTCAGAGCTAGGGCGGACTGTGTCCAGCACAATGACCACTCTGGTGCTGGCCAATAAACACACCGTCAGCGAAAGGGAATGAGCCGTATGTTGAGAGATTGGACTTTGGGGCCCAGGCCCAAGCTTCCAAAAACAGCCTTGTTGTTTCTCCCTTAGACTTGAAAAACCCTTATTTTTTTTTTGCATCTGCCTTGTCATGATTTGGGTTGGTCCGTTGCTTGTTTTTTATAATACGTCTGGGGGCGGGGGTTTTCTTCCCCACCCCCATTCCCTTGCAGGTACATTCGTTAAAACTGGCCCTGGAAGGAGTGGAGAAGGAAAGGGATTTCTACTTTGGGAAGTTGAGAGAGATTGAGCTGCTCTGCCAAGAGCAGGGGCAGGAAAACAATGACCTCGTGCAGCGACTGATGGACGTTCTCTACGCTTCAGATGAGCACGTGAGTGTTTGTTAGGGCCCGCCGACCCTCAAAGCCACAGTGCAGTGGACCAGTGCCCATGAGAACACCTCCCCAGGGCCAATATTCCCCAAAGAATGAAAATGGTCCTCCAATGATGGAATCGATCCAGGCCTACCTGGCCTGCGCTCATAAAGGCACCTGGGAAGAGTGTAGTGGGTGGTGGGCAAGGGAGTTTGATGGGGAGGCCTGGGCGTGCAGCCAAGTTCCAAGGGTTTTTCAGCTCTCTGAACAAATGAGCAATAAGATTGTGTGTAAAGATGGTTGGATTGGGGTTGAAGAAGAAAATAATCTAGATGTTTCCCCCGCCTCACTGCGCCCACAGCTGCCTATGTTCACTTCATACCTGCCTGTCCTGGTTCCCCGTTGCCAATCTGGCAATGACCAGCAGGATAGCCCTTCATCAGAAGTGCTCCTAGAGAGCTTCCTTTTGGGGAACGAGTGCTGGAGGTGACCCAGAGCATGACTTAGCCATGGCAACAGAGGGCAAATGTGAGAGCAGGAACAGATCACAAGGAGAAGTTCAGGAAGCAACGAGAGAAACCAGCCAACCACTTGCTGTCAAGTTGAAGCCAACTCATAGTGGCCACATGTGTGTAGAGTAGAACTGAGCTCCACTGAGTCCCGCAGCGGCGCCCACCCCCCTCCCCCGTGCAGCATGAATCCCAGGTCTTTCTCCCCTGCCTTTGGGCAGACTTGAACCAACAACCTTTGAGTTAGCACCTGAGTAAGTTAACAAATCACACCACCCAAGGACTCACGAAGAGAGGAAAGGGTGAGATAAAGGCCAGAGACTAAGGCTAGTCACCCCAGAGGACAGAGGAGTGACACCCGGTGGGGCAGCTCCTTCATG